TATTTTTACACTAAAACGTGTCGGAATTGCCTAATATACCATGAGTGACTCCATACGCGACTAACTTTGACTACCTTGAGACCTTTTTTGCTGTTGGTCAACTGTGACGTTGCTCTTGGGTCATGTGACGTCATTAAAGGTCACCAAATGTTTTTTGCTAATAACTCCTTACAGGTTTGAGATACAGCCGCGCGGATAAGCCCATTGTGTTCAGCTCGTCAAGGCCCATCGAATGATATATATGATGACCTTAAAGTCACGTGACCTAAGGTCAACTTTTGACCTTGACCTTTCGAGGTCAACATACGCATGTTTCGATGCGGATCGACGAGAGGATCGCGATGATGCTATTAGTGTGTTCCTAGCTGGGATCAAAAGTTATTCGAGAAAAACTTCATATACATACCGGGTGGCCCAGAAAAAACGTTCCGAACTTTGGAGGCCTATATATCAAAGTCGAGTACAAATAACGAGCCAAAATTCTCATCAAGTTTGCGTCATTTCTTTGCGCATTGGTATGCCAAATTATAATACTATACCATCATTTTCAAGCTGGCAATCTTGAGTTGAATTAAGTAAGACGTTTTTGCTTTTTTTGCCGATATCAAACTATAGTGATGATTGGGTTAGACGTCCCATGTTATAAAAAAAGAATAAAAGATAGAGCACGTGAATGAAACCAACATGTATGTTCTTATCTTAAATATTTTTGTCTCACTTATGTGCCAACTGCCAAATATTCAAATACTGAGCCAAAATGGTGCTCATGGATGCCATTCGTTTCATCACCAAATCATGTCTCGAGCAGGAGTGGCATGGTGCATGGATTACTGCTGATTACCCTCCTTTCAGTAGATCAAACAGTAAATCGACCGGATAAGGAAAACAAACTAAAGCAGACTGGTTCCTGTGCCAGAAGACCACAGAATAGCTTATAAAAAAACAACATTGCCAGCAGATGACAAAAAAAAAATGGTTAAAAAGCTACCTTTTCCCAGGAATGTCAGCCAGGAAAGCATTTGAGCCACAAGATGGTTAGAAAACTGGAAACTTCTTCCGATGCCGCTGGCACAGAGCCATCGTGGTTGCCTGAGGGAATGTGTCATCCTGAGACCCGAACCATTAATGAGACTACTATAGCTGCCAGTAGAAGTCATGGCTCTAGGCCGCGGTGCCGCGGGGTGAAAGTGACCAGTTCACTCACATTCTTTGGTAAACATCGGAGCAAAAAAGTAATTTTTACATGGCATGCTTGAAACACGAACCGTTTAAAATGTAATTTACTGAACAACATGAAAATCACACCATTTACTGAAAATGTGTGCCGCATTGACTATTCGAAGTTTCAATGTTGTATCTTTATCACTTTCTGAGAAATATTGATTTAAAGTTGGGAACGTTTTTTCTGGGCCACCCGGTATATGTAGTGCCGCCATTTAGACTTTCTTTTTACCCCTGTGACGTCATCTTTGACCTGACCTGAAAATGACCTGAGTAAAAATTGTAGACCTTATCCATGTGTACCCTGTGCCGTTTACCGCTTGTCGCTATCTTGCTTTGTTCTTGAGATATCGATAACTAAAAAAATATTTATCTGATAAGCCTGAAACTGTTACAGGTGGATTCAGAGCCCCCGATTACCCCTGAGACCGATTCTCGTCAAATTCCGAGAGATGAGGGTGTCAAATTGGAAAAAAGTGGTACGATCTATCGTGGAATGCCCCAGGAGACTCGTCAACATTTACATGAAAGTCGCAGCACAAGTTCGGTCTCACGGAGCAAAACAAAACGGTGTACTTTGGGAGCCCATCAATCTGTGCCAGAATGAGTAATATTTTTTCTGGATGATATTTTATACAGTCTGATCAATTTACGACCAGAAAATGTGAGAAAATCACGCTTTAAAATTTGTCGAAAATTAGGGTATTGGCCACTTCTGAACCCAGATAGCGGCTGTGTGGGCTGGTCGGGTGTATGTGGCCACTTGCTGCATTGCACATTTTGCGTCGCTTAACAATTTTATTGCTGTTTTTGCTAAGCACAATGCACGGAAGACCCAGCGAATATAATTTACTTAACTTGTGCATTGTGCAATACATGATTTGGCACGGTATCGAGGGAACCATAGGTCTTGTGCCTATGCATGATATTTAGGCAATACGTTTATGCAAATGGTAGATTGATGCTTCATGTCAATTCGTATGCTAAATGTCGGCACGTATTGAATGAATCATTCAATCAATCAACCAAACAATCAATTGGCATGTATAAACCCGTATAAATGGCTCGCAACCACTAACAGCAATCAAACCATCCTAACTCGGAAAAGCAGCCGGAGCACTGATGAGGCTCGAACCGGAACTCCACGCTGTGAGTTTCGCCAATGATCCATCATCATTCCACCAAGCTAGAGTGACCGGCACCCGAACCCACAAAAACATTAATTGGCTTTGCCGCCGACCTCCCGGCCCCGCCGCCCGCCCGGCCAGACTTAGCCCCGGCCGTAGCCACCATCTGGTGTAGCTCAGCGTAGGAGTGCTCGACTGTCAAACTGACCGGTAGTGAGGGACCCGGTTCGAAACGCTTCGCATGCTGGATATTTATTTCTCGGTAGGAGGCTTTGCGTTTTGTTCATTTTTCAGAAAGATTATTTGGTGACTGACCTGTTTTCTTTCTTTGCTGCAATTCATGAGGAGACCTTGGGAGATGGATGGTTCCGCACCCCACTTGGGAGATGGGTGGTTGACCCCCCCCCCCTCTGGGGTTTTGTGAATATCTCTAAAACAAGTGACCACACACAGTACACACCCAGCCCTAGGTCCGCTCCCTCCCTCCCCACATCACCCCCGCCCCACACCACACTCTCCAGCCCGCCTCATCCACCGAGCCGAGCCAAATCGACAGGCCTGACCCTTACCCCCCCCCTCCCCCCAGCCGGTGTAACGCAGCGTCCGGTCAAATCGCTCTAACAAGCGGCCCGAGCCGGTGTCATACAGTGTGGGTAGCCTGTGCCGCTTGACTCTCGGGTCATGCGGCACAGCCTTCCGGTACCAGGCTGCTGCTGCCAATGCTGAGCCATAGGAACCCGGTGGATAAAGAGTAGCGGACCATCAACCTGTACACGACTGTAGGTACTTACCCTGCACAATTTGAAATCGATTATTTTTCTATAAGAAATTTTGCTTTTAGAACGGGACAAGTGTTAGTGTCACATTATCTTTTTGGGGATAGAAGATGGAGCCGTCTGCAGAGTCGGGTCGCTTTTCCTGGCTCGGAGTCTGAACGCTTGACGGGGACCCTCTTAGCTACAGAAAGAGCCTCTGAGCACATGAAGGGGTCCCCTGAACACTTGATGGGGTCACCTGAGCTACAGAAAGGTCGTCTGAACTCTGAATACACAAGGCCCTCTGAGCGCATGAATAGGCCCTCTGAACTACAAGAAAACTCTGAGCATTTAAAGGGTCCCCTGAACGCCTGACAGGCTTCTCTGAGCGATAAAAGGGCCCCAAGCGCCTAAAGGGCCTCTGTACGCTTGACAAGGGCCTTATGAGTTACAGAAAAGCCCTGAGTACACGAGAGGGCCCTCTAAACTCATGAAGGGGTCCCTGATTCTTTGACGGGGCCCTCTGTGCACATTATAAAGAGCCCCTAATCGCTTGACGGGGGGCCCTCTAGGCTACATAAAGGCCCTCTGAATACACGACAGGACAGGCCTTAAAAGCGCCCAACCGATCTGTAGGGGCCTGTAACAGCCGCCTTTTCAATTTTTTCTAGATTGACCCTCTGTCGGCAATAGCTTTTGGCCACTGCTAGAACCTATTTAACGGTTTTATAGGGCCATTGCGCGACTACGAAGAAGTCTTGAAAGCTCAGACTGGGCTCCTGACTGTGGGATACTTGGTGTCATTAGTGCCTTTTCCGACTCGCTAGCTCAATTTGAGCGGGAGCTATTGACGAAAAACTAATATGACCCTATTGACGTCATAAAGGACGTCACGCAACGTCAACATTGCAAAAATGACGCCTCAAACCTTGCAAGGAGTGCATGAAATCACGATTCTGTGTGCTTGGGATAGTTGGAGATCGTTCCCGGTGCCAAAATAGCAGTTTTTATTTTTTTCCCGTTGACTTATAATGGTGAGGTCACGAAAATGACCTGACCTCATATCGACACCTTTTTTTTAAACCCCACATTTGTTCTCCGGTGAATTTCAGAGAAGTTGGTTAGAGACCTTCAAAAAAGGTACAATCACTCGATTTTTCTCAAGTTTGTCTGTCTTGGCAGATAAAGCAATACCAGAACAGGCCTACGAACACACATATTTGATCAGGATCGGACGATTGGACACTTTTAAAAGGAGATCTTTCGTGCCTCCCGGAAATTCACGGGAGAGCAGATGTGGGTTTTAAAAAAAGGTGTCGATATGACCTTTAGGAAAAATCCGAGATATACAAGTTGTGAGACTCGTAATGGATACTAGATCCTGCAAGTTTCATTTCCCTGTGAAAGCTACTCTGGCAGTGAGGGCGTTGCGAAGTTGCGACATCTGAAGACCGTGCAGAGTTCACTTATGACGTCATAGGTCAGCAATGACCTGACCTGACCCGAAAATGCGGTAGGGGTTAAAAGATGCGGCTTGAATCAAAGGTCAGGTCGCCAAGTTTCAGCTCTCTATCGCCAGCGTGTTCGGAGCTATCGCGAAAGAAAACCTAGGGGGGGGGGCGGTACCCACCCCCCGCCTCGGCCGGCGTGGGTAATGCATAGGCATTTCGGCCTTCTTCGCGTGTTTTGGTTGCAGTTCGTAAATTAGTGCTACTGCGACTATTGGAGGCCCCCGCTTGCATGGAGGGCGGAGGCCCCCTTGGCCGTTTGGGACCCCAGTGCAGGCAGTGCTTATGCCAAAGTTTCATCCATGTCTGCCTGAGGATTTATGTGACAGCTTTTACTAATTAATGTCAGTAATGCATTTCTGGCTGGTTAACAATGTACTTTGTTTCAGGTGTTTTGTTTAAAGCAGCCGTCATGGGGAATATCCACACTGTTGGGCCAAATGAAGCCCTCATAGTTTCAGGTATGCTTTTCTCAGTCTGCCACAATCAATGCAGAGCGCTCGTTTTTATTACACTGCAGCTATATTGCATGATCACCGGGTTGTGTTACGCAGCCAATAGTTGCGGGGCGGAGCTTCCTATTCAGTTGACGGGGGGGGGGGGGGCTGTCTAACCAACTTGCCATTTTGCCCCACCAATAAACATTTTGCCCCACCAACTTTAACTGATTTGGTGCTTAGCAAACCAATCTTTTTTTGCATCGAGGGACTTTGAAATACATGTGTAATGCAACATATTATCTATGTAATGAAAATAATTGATTCATTGTTGCACATTATCAACTTAAAGGGACTATCCCACCTTTAACATGGGGTTTGAGTTGAGATAGCCAAGTTTGCGGCGAGGTTCAGAAACCACTATCTATCTAGGTTGCAACCCCCGCGGCCTCTTGGTGTTGAAGAAATTCGTTCCCTTCATTTGAAAATGGGCCTTGTGCAAGGCCCTATCTTCAACATGGAGCGACCGTTAGTGTGACGTCACCTCGTTTAGTCATTCTGATTTAAATGGGTTTGTTCGTTGAAAAATCGCTTAAAACTTGGTCTGAACTTTCTTGTGGTGCCTACAGAATAAAAAGAATCAGCTTTATGACAGTAATGTGGCCTGGGGAAGGGGGTAATTTTGGGCTGTGACGTCACATATTTGAAAGTTTGCGTTTGGAATATGGGAAGCCTAAGATGTTAAGTGAAAAATAAATGCCAGAACCGTGTTCCTGGTCATCCAATCTATAAAGTCGGGCACAATTTAACTGGTTTTAACAACATTTTAGAAGGTGGGATAGTCCCTTTAACAATTGGACATTGTAGGTTTGATGACTTTTTGCCCCACCAGCTTCCCTGGAAAGGCTCCACCCATGTGTAGTTGGCTGTTTTTACGGGTCGGAATTTGGCAGGCACGCACCAGATATGGAGAGCAGGCGATTCTGGTGGTGCCTCCGTACGGCAAGTCGGGCGGGTGCTAGCGCCGGCTGTCTGGGGAGGGGGAAGGGCGAGCGGTCCGCTGACGCCGCCCTGCGCCCGGTCCGGTGGGTGCTAGCGCCGGCGGTCTGGGGAGGGAGGTCCGCTGACGCCGCCCTGCGCCCGGTCCGCAGGAGGGTGGTGCGGCTCCCAACAGAAGCGGACCATCGTCGGCGGCTGGGCCTGGGCCTGGTGGGCCGTCACCGACGTCCAGTCACTCAGCCTCGAGGTAGGGCTCGTGCAGTCACTCAGTGCAGTGTCTGTGCTCGGCTGGGCCTGGTCTGTCGTGTCTGTCGGGAGGCGGTGACCCCCCGCTGACCGTCCCCGTCTGTCTCTCTCTCTCTCTCTCTCTCTCTCTCTCTCTCTCTCTCTCTCTCTCTCTCTCTCTCTCTCTCTCTCTCTCTCTCTCTCTCTCTCTCTCTCTCTCTCTCTCTCTCTCTCTCTCTCTCTCTCTCTCTCTCTCTCTCCTCTCTCTCTCTCTCTCTCTCTCTCTCTCTCTCTCTCTCTCTCTCTCTCTCTCTCTCTCTCTCTCTCTCTCTCTCTCTCTCTCTCTCTCTCTCTCTCTCTCTCTCTCTCTCTCTCTCTCTCTCTCTCTCTCTCTCTCTCTCTCTCTCTCTCTCTCTCTCTCTCTCTCTGCGCGGCAGACGATGACGCTGAACCCGATGTGTGAGCGCGTGGAGACGGCGCAGGGCGTGCCGCTCACCGTCAACGCCGTGGCCCAGTGCAAGATCATCAAACAGGACGACATCCTGAAGACGGCCTCCGAACAGTTCCTCGGAAAGTCGGTGGAGGACATCGAGCTTACCATACTGCAGACGCTCGAGGGACACCTGCGGGCCATCCTCGGTAACTGCAGGGGCCGGGTGGGGTGGGGAGGGGGCAGCTAGTTAGTCACCATACTGCAGACGCTCGAGGGACACCTGCGGGCCATCCTCGGTAACTGCAGGGGCCGGGTGGGGTGGGGAGGGGGTAGCTAGTTAGTCACCATACTGCAGACGCTCGAGGGACACCTGCGGGCCATCCTCGGTACCTGCAGGGGCCGGGTGGGGTGGGGAGGGGGCAGCTAGTTAGTCACCATACTGCAGACGCTCGAGGGACACCTGCGGGCCATCCTCGGTAACTGCAGGGGCCGGGTGGGGTGGGGAGGGGCAGCTAGTTAGTCACCATACTGCAGACGCTCGAGGGACACCTGCGGGCCATCCTCGGTAACTGCAGGGGCCGGGTGGGGTGGGGAGGGGGCAGCTAGTTAGTCGCCATACTGCAGACGCTCGAGGGACACCTGCGGGCCATCCTCGGTAACTGCAGGGGCCGGGTGGGGTGGGGAGGGGGTAGCTAGTTAGTCACCATACTGCAGACGCTCGAGGGACACCTGCGGGCCATCCTCGGTAACTGCAGGGGCCGGGTGGGGTGGGGAGGGGCAGCTAGTTAGTCGCCATACTGCAGACGCTCGAGGGACACCTGCGGGCCATCCTCGGTAACTGCAGGGGCCGGGTGGGGTGGGGAGGGGCAGCTAGTTAGTCGCCATACTACAGACGCTCGAGGGACACCTGCGGGCCATCCTCGGTAACTGCAGGGGCCGGGCGGGGTGGGGAGGGGCAGCTAGTTAGTCGCCATACTACAGACGCTCGAGGGACACCTGCGGGCCATCCTCGGTAACTGCAGGGGCCGGGCGGGGTGGGGAGGGGCAGCTAGTTAGTCGCCATACTGCAGACGCTCGAGGGACACCTGCGGGCCATCCTCGGTAACTGCAGGGGCCGGGTGGGGTGGGGAGGGGGCAGCTAGTTAGTCACCATACTGCAGACGCTCGAGGGACACCTGCGGGCCATCCTCGGTAACTGCAGGGGCCGGGTGGGGTGGGGAGGGGCAGCTAGTTAGTCACCATACTGCAGACGCTCGAGGGACACCTGCGGGCCATCCTCGGTACCTGCAGGGGCCGGGTGGGGTGGGGAGGGGGCAGCTAGATAGTCACCATACTACAGACGCTCGAGGGACACCTGCGGGCCATCCTCGGTAACTGCAGGGGCCGGGTGGGGTGGGGAGGGGCAGCTAGTTAGTCACCATACTGCAGACGCTCGAGGGATTCCTGCGGGCCATCCTTGGCTGCTGGAATGGGGGTGGGAAGAGCTGAGGACAACCAGATATTAATATGACTCGATCAGGTTTATTCAAGCTGTACCCTTGTCTCTGCCCTCTGACCACTGTCCTCTGACCACTGTCCTCTGACCACTGTCCTCTTGCCTCTGTCGTCTGGCCGCTATCCTCTTGTGTCTGTCCTCTGATTGCTGTCCTCTGTCCTCCGACCGCTGTCCCCTGACCGCTGTCCTCTGACTGCTGTCCTCTGTCTAACCGCTGTCCTCTGACCGCTGTCCTCTGACCGCTGTCCTCTGACCGCTGTCCTCTGACCGCTGTCCTCTGACCGCTGTCCTCTGACCGCTGTCCTCTGACCGCTGTCCTCTGACCTCAGGAACGCTGACTGCTGTCCTCTGACCGCTGTCCTCTGACCGCTGTCCTCTGACCTCAGGAACGCTGACTGCTGTCCTCTGACCCCTGTCCTCTGACCGCTGTCCTTTGACGGCTGTCCTCTGACCGCTGTCCTCTGACTGACTCCTGTCCTCTGACCGCTGTCCTCTGACCGCTGTCCTCTGACCGCTGTCTGACCACTGTCCTCTTGTCTCTGCCCTCTGACCGCTGTCCTCTGTCCTCTGTCCTCTGACCGCTGTCCTCTGTCCTCTGTCCTCTGACCGCTGTCCTCTGACCTCAGGAACGCTGACTGCTGTCCTCTGACCTCAGGAACGCTGACTGCTGTGCTCTGACCGCTGTCCTTTGACGGCTGTCCTCTGACCGCTGTCCTCTGACCGCTGTCCTCTGACCGCTGTCCTCTGATTGACTGCTGTCCTCTGACCGCTGTCCTCTGACTGACTGCTGTCCTCTGACTGACTGATGTCCTCTGACTGACCGCTGTCCTCTGACTGACTCCTGTCCTCTGACCGCTGTCCTCTGACTCCTGTCCTCTGACTGACTCCTGTCCTCTGACCGCTGTCCTCTGACTGACCGCTGTCCTCTGACCGCTGTCCTCTGACCGCTGTCCTCTGACCGCTGTCCTCTGACCGCTGTCCTCTGACCACTGTCCTCTTGTCTCTGTCCTCTGACCGCTGTCCTCTGACCGCTGTCCTCTGACCACTGTCCTCTTGTCTCTGTCCTCTGACCGCTGTCCTCTGACCGCTGTCCTCTGACCACTGTCCTCTTGTCTCTGTCCTCTGACTGCTGTCCTCTGACCGCTGTCCTCTGACTGACTGCTGTCCTCTGACTGACTGCTGTCCTCTGACTGACCGCTGTCCTCTGACTGACTCCTGTCCTCTGACCGCTGTCCTCTGACTGACTCCTGTCCTCTGACCGCTGTCCTCTGACTGACTGCTGTCCTCTGACCGCTGTCCTTTGACGGCTGTCCTCTGACCGCTGTCCTCTGACCGCTGTCCTCTGACCGCTGTCCTCTGACCGCTGTCCTCTGACCGCTGTCCTCTGACTGACTGCTGTCCTCTGACCGCTGTCCTCTGACTCCTGTCCTCTGACTGACTCCTGTCCTCTGACTGACCGCTGTCCTCTGACCGCTGTCCTCTGACCGCTGTCCTCTGACCGCTGTCCTCTGACCGCTGTCCTCTGACCGCTGTCCTCTGACCGCTGTCCTCTGACCGCTGTCCTCTGACCGCTGTCCCCTGGCCGCTGTCCTCTGACTGACTGCTGTCCTCTGACCGCTGTCCTCTGACCGCTGCTGTTCTCTGACCTCAGGAACGCTGACCGTGGAGGAGATATTCAAGGACCGGGACCAGTTCGCCGCCCTGGTGCGCGAGGTGGCCGCCCCGGACGTCGGACGCATGGGTGTGGAGATCCTCAGTTTCACCATCAAGGACGTGTACGACTCGGTGGAGTACCTCTCGTCGCTGGGTCGCACGCAGACGGCCGCCGTCAAGAGAGACGCCAACACCGGCGTGGCCATGGCGCAGCGGGATGCCGGCATCCGGGTGGGTGGGGGACTCCGGCAGGGTTGGTGGGGGACACCGGCAGGGTGGGTGGGGGACACCGGCAGCCGGACCGGCGGGTGGGGGACACCGGCAGGGCGGGTGGGGGACTCCGGCAGCTCCAGGTGGGTGCGTGGGGGACTCCAGCAGCCGGACGGGTGGGTGGGGGACACCGGCAGGGTGGGTGGGTGGGGGACACCGGCAGGGTGGGTGGGTGGGGGACACCGGCAGGGTGGGTGGGTGGGGGACTCTGGCAGCCGGACCGGCGGCGCCGCGCTGGGCGGGCTACACCGAGTGCAGTTGTAATTTAGCTGGCCGCGCCGTGCTGGTGACATCTGTCTGTCTGTCTGTGTGTGCCTCCAGGAGGCCGAGTGCGAGCGCGCCGCCATGGACGTCAAGTACAGTACCGACACCAAGATCGAGGACAACACCAAGGCGTTCAAGCTGCAGAAGGCCCAGTTCGACCGGGAGGTCAACACGGCGGTACGTGCGGCGGCGGGCGCGGCCGGCGGCCGTACGCACCCCTCTGGCGGCGGCTGACTGAGGGGCTGATCCCCAGCGGCGGCTGACTGAGGGGCTGATCCCCAGCGGCGGCTGACTGGGGGGCTGATCCCCAGCGGCGGCTGACTGAGGGGCTGATCCCCAGCGGCGGCTGACTGGGGGGCTGATCCCCAGCGGCGGCTGACTGAGGGGCTGATCCCCAGCGGCGGCTGACTGAGGGGCTGGTCCCCAGCGGCGGCTGACTGGGGGGCTGGTCCCCAGCGGCGGCTGACTGGGGGGCTGATCCCCAGCGGCGGCTGACTGAGGGGCTGATCCCCAGCGGCGGCTGACTGGGGGGCTGATCCCCAGCGGCGGCTGACTGAGGGGCTGATCCCCAGCGGCGGCTGACTGAGGGGCTGATCCCCAGCGGCGGCTGACTGAGGGGCTGATCCCCAGCGGCGGCTGACTGGGGGGCTGATCCCCAGCGGCGGCTGACTGAGGGGCTGATCCCCAGCGGCGGCTGACTGAGGGGCTGATCCCCAGCGGCGGCTGACTGGGGGGCCCTATGTAGGCGCCGGGTAGGTTGGCTGTGGCACGGCTGCTGGCTCTGGTTAGACGCGCGGCGAGCGGTCACCGAGCGCTGTCTCGGATCGATGCCCTTCGCACTGATTGCGGCCCCCGGGACGGGGCAGCTTGTTGCACGTCAACTGGGTACATTTGAACCGTCCGGATGTGCGGGGCTGTAGCTCCTCATACAGCGCAGAGCCGGTGCTCGGGCCCTCTGACATGACCTTGACCCGAGGTCAAATTTTCAACTTGACCTTTCGATGTCAACATATAGTTCATTCGACGCGTCTCGACGAGAGGAAAGCGATGCTGGCAAAATAAATATCGTGGCTCTCTTGAGTCAAAAGTTATTACCGAAAAACATATTTCGTGAAAACGGCTATCTTGAGAGTTTTTGCCCTCTGGAGGCTAATCTGTTAACCTGAGGTCAAATGTGAGAACAAAATTCAGAAAGGTCTTTAAACTGGCTAGCAAATGTGCTTTTCCGCGGCGCTGTAGCTCCAATGGCTCCCGAGTTGGCCGTTGGCAGCTTCCAAAATTGTTTTAGTGGACTTATTTTGACCTTTGCTAACCTATGGCGACCTGACATTTGATCTGATCTAAAAATGGCCGAGGTGTTTCCGTAATTATTTTTGACGCTCTTTCGATTGCCGCTTACTGTGTGTCGCTACGTGGCCCAGGAGCCGAATTACACCAGAGGGAGGGGGCGTGAAAACGCCCCCCCCCCCCCCAGCACGACGCGGAAAACTCGGGCCACCAGCACGGCGGTGGTCTGCAGTCACAATACCCGTCTTAAGGCCGCCCCACACTGGACCTCGCATGCGGGTTTTGAGTTTGCGGGCATAATATTAATTCATAGAGTGATTAGACCGTTCCCTTATGGTAACTTTATGAATGCAATGAAGCCGGTACACCTTCAGAAAATTACATATAGTCGCAATACCAGCGCAACAAACCAAAATTCGACTCCAACAAAAAACCCGCAAACCTCGCAGAACTCGCAGACCTCGCAGCGAGGAGAATCGAAAGTGACTCAAAATCAACTTTTGGAATGCGATGCAAGGTCGCTCGCAAGCTAAAAACATGCACACTCGCTTGTTAGAGGGTAGTGTGGGTCACTCAGCTTAGATTGTATCATTTGATTTAGAAGAAACCCGAAAACCCAAAAACTCGCACCCCGCATGCGAGTTCCAGTGTGGGGCGGCCTTAATGTCCGGCATTTTCGTTAATTTTCCGTCCAAAAATGTTAAAGTAGGCCATTTGTCCAAATATATCCGAAAGTTATGCAGTAATCAACACTCAAAACTATCATTTAGATTACTTATTCTGTAATTTTACCAACCGAAAAGTGTTCATTATATTGAGAGCTTAACAAGCTTTCCATTGGCCAATCAATGCTATGCACGATTACTTTATAAAAATGCTGAAATGTAGCAAACCATCGTCCAATGTTGTCCAGTCTGCTGCCTTTGTTCAACCAATTCCGAATTGGACATTATAAAGAATCGGAACTCCGAATGTCCAGGTTCCGATTGATACCACTATAACAGATGAAGTAAGGTTTGGTAGAGTTTTTATCGAACAGAAATGTTAGACGGTCTGTCTATTGAAGAGAGGCGAATTCTGTCAACTGACCGGTGTGCAGCGTACAGATATTGATACTTTGCAACTGTTATTTTTGTTGTGTTGATTTTTCAAATGAAGGTAGGGGAAGGTGGGGTAAGACGGACCAGCTAAGGTTTGAGGCCGCATATCTTGCTACACTGCTCTCGTAATTCATATTATTTATAGTCTTCGGAATGCTCAATCCTTCCTCTGTTGATATGTGTAAAGACTAAATTTCAAATTAAAGACATCTAGGTGGTGGATGCTCTTAAAGAGGGACATGTCAAAATTTCAGACAAGAAAAAACGTGGGGTAAGACGGACCACCCAGCAGTGCCTGCTATCCGTTCATGTGTGTTACACTTCTGCTCTGTACTCTTGTAAGAAAAAGTAACCAGAATGGTAAAATAACAAAATGAGCCTTTATTCTTTACTCATGTGTGATGGAAGTGCAGCTAAAAGCTGGGAACATGTGTGTTGATTGTCGTTTGGCATGAATGCATGCTAACTGAGCACTTGCATGCATGGCTCACATGCAACAAAGACTCCTTCCTGAAAAATTAGGTTACTTAAACTTGTGTCAATGTTTTGGAAAAGAACTTTCCATACGCAGGGTACAATGGACCACCACAGGGTAAGATGGACCACAATGGTCCGTCTTGCCCCAAATCTAAATTATTTCATTATCATGATGTATATGTCAAATAGCCCAACATTGCAAAACCTTGCCTTTCCTTAAGTGTGACTATAACTAAGTTTATAACTTTTTTCTTCACAGTTAAGTGCAAAATAGAAACTAATCATGCAAGAAAGGCGCCGTAATTTAATCACCCGTAGACCTCTTATAATTAGATCGCTTTGACGAAAACATTTTTCTCAATAACTTAAAAGCTATGCATCCTTGCAGCTTGAGCTCAAGGTGGCCATTGTTACGAAGGAAAACAAACTTAGTGGGCGCATAAAGCAGTAGATACCAGCAGCGGTTCAGCCGGGAGGGCTGGTGGTCCGTATTGCCCCGCTGGGCCGTCTTACCCCACCTTCCCCTATGTTTAGAATTGTTCTGCCTATTTGTTTATGGATCAAACAATATCGGTGATGGCGAGATTATCGTTTTTATGGCATGTAAAGGCAGTATGTTCATATTGTTCAACATACCCTACGGTGGGGGTGGGGCAATTTGAACACACCGTGACTTTGTAGAGAAGTGAGGCTATGCTATTCGAGGTATGCTCGGCTCGTCCAAAAATGAGGCTTGCATGGTGAAACTTGAAGCCGAGCTAGAAAAGGGGAGGGAGGGGTGTTCAAACGTCTCCCTGGCCCGGCGCGATTAGCGCCGAGCGCCGGCCCGGCACGGGCTAATTTTTGGCTGCTACGTTCAAAGCCGCAATGTCACCTAGAGGGTTGTTATGAAATGATGTGTATGCTTTTTTAGTGTATTTGTGAGTTTTTGAATTAGGCTTGCGCTGCTGTGCCGACTCGCCCACCGCGCTGGTTGCTTGTTACTTTTAGGTAGGTGTGGGTTTTATTGCGCTTCCACAGACAGCTCCTTTTTGACCCATGTGCTAGAGGTGCCAGTGGGCCCAGTGTGCGCTGGCAGACCGCTCTCACCGGGTGTGGCGCGGTGCGTCCCCAGAGGGCAGAGGCACAGCTCGCCTACGAACTGCAGGAGGCGAAAGAGAAGCAGAGAATTCGAAACGAGGAGATCTCCATCGACATCATCGAAAGGAAAAAGCAGATTCAGGTGGGTGAACGGCCCTGCCCCGTCTGCTGCCCCAGAGACAGGCCAGGCAGCCCCGTCCGCTGCCCCCCCCCCGCCCTGCCCCGTCCGCTGCCCCCAGTGCCCTGCTCAGGTTTGTGACTGTGTGCCTGTGTCTGTGACTGTGTGTCCGTGTTTGTGACTGTGTGTGTTTGTGTGACAGTGTCGGTGTGACTGTTACTGTGTGACTGTGAAAAGTGCCCGTGTGACTGTGTTTCTGTGTGTCGGTGCGACTGTGTGACTGTGAAATGTGTCTGTGTGACTGTGAAATGTGTCTGTGTGACTGTGAAATGTGTCTGTGTGACTGTGTGTCTGTGTGTCGGTGCGACTGTGTGTCTGTGTGTCGGTGCGACTGTGTGACTGTGAAATGTGACTGTGTGACTGTGAAATGTGTCTGTGTGACTGTGTGTCTGTGTGTCGGTGCGACTGTGTGACTGTGAAATGTGTCTGTGTGACTGTGTGTCTGTGTGTCGGTGCGACTGTGTGACTGTGAAATGTGACTGTGTGACTCTGTCTGTGTGGCTGTGTCTGTGTGGCTGTACCTGTGTGTCGGTGCGACTGTAGTTGCGTGACGGTGACCGTGTGTCTGTCCCGCAGGTGGAGGAGAAGGAGATTCAGCGTAAGGAGAAGGAGCTCACCGGCACCGTCAAGCTGCCCGCCGAGGCCGAGAGCTACAAACTGGAGGCGCTCGCAGAGGGTAAACGGTACGCTGACTGACGCGCCAGCTCGGCCCGGCGCCGGCGGCCACCCGTTTGTACCGCTTCTGCTGGGTCGGGCTCTTTTTGTGCAATGCTTTTCATGCCCGTGACCTAGGTACAATACGCGACTTCTGACCCGTGGTCAGATACAGTACCTGTGACCGGTGACCCGTCGCCAGGTACCAGACGGTCGAGCTGGCCAAGGCCGAGGCGGAGACGATTCGGCTGATTGGCACTGCCGAGGCGGTCGGCATCGAGGCGGTCGGGCGCGCCGACGCCGAGCGGATGCGCATGAAGGCGGCAGCGTACCGTCAGTATGGCGACGCCGCCATGGCGGCCATGGTGCTGGAGGCGCTGCCCAAGGTCAGTAGGGGGACCGGCCGCGGCTGCCGCGGCGCCCGGTCGGCCGAGAGGCCGCCACTATACGCCGTCCCTACTCGTCTCCCACGCGGTGGCGGTGATCACTCGGCGCCGGCCGGCCGGAGACCGAGAGGCCGCCACTATACGCCGTCCCTACTCGTCTCCCACGCGGTGGCGCTGATCACTCGGCGCCGGTCGCGCTCAGCGGCGGTCGTTCTCCGGACCTTTTGGAACATTTTCTGTCCCAGTTTTACCTTTCTTGTTATGTTATCCCTGTACCTATTCGTAATGAAACATGCGGATTGTTTCGATAGCTTAGTGACCATCCCACTTTAACATTATTTTTTAGTTGAGATAGCCAAATTGGGGTGCACTTACCGGTGCACTTACCGTGACTTGCACTGACCGGTTTGGACACTCACAGCATCGAGAACTGCTTCAATTCAGAGATATTAAATTTCAAAGTTGCAGCACTTTGGTTTCAGAAGTGCTAATACATTTGAATGCCCCCTCTGAATTTGTGACGTCAGCGCAGATCTAGCGATTTTAAAATCTTGTACTAACATCTTTGTGAAGCAGTGGTGGTGGTATATGCTGTTTGCGCGCAACATCTGCTGCACTTTTAAGTTACCAAATTATTGCTTCCAAATGTCCTAGCAACAGCGGAGGCTGAAAAATAAACAAAAGTAATTGTCTTATATCTCAAAAACAAGTTAACATTGTTCACTGAAATCTGGTAGATATTCATTTTTGCTCACTCTGAACCATGACGTGACACCGCTTTTATGCGAATTCATTAACTTTTTTGAAGGTGTCCCTTTGACACGTACTAATGTGAAGGCCGCGCTACACTACATAGGTATGTACATACATACATACATATGTATATACATACATGTGTACATATAAATAGTCATTTCCAATTATTAATAATAGAGCTCATTTCTTGTGGGTTCCAGTTCACGATGTTCGCGAAAACGTGCAGACTGCAGCCGTGTTGCCCATATAGGACCTATCACACTAAATGCAGTCGCACAAGCTTACATGCTGCTTATGACTAGCATTGTATTTCGTGTTGTCGCATATATAGTTAGTACTCTCTCTCTCTCTCTCTCTCTCTCTCTCTCTCTCTCTCTCTCTCTCTCTCTCTCTCTCTCTCTCTCTCTCTCTCTCTCTCTCTCTCTCTCTCTCTCTCTCTCTCTCCCTCTCCCTCTCCCTCTCCCTCTCCCTCTCCCTCTCCCTCTCCCTCTCCCTCTCCCTCTCCCTCTCCCTCTCCCTCTCCCTCTCCCTTTCCCTTTCCCTTTCCCTTTCCCTTTCCCTTTCCCTCCCTGTGTGTGCTCTGTGCTCCCTTCCTCCCTTCCTCCCTCCTCCGTAATCTCCTGTGTATGCCAAGGCATACCAACTCCCTTCCTTAGATCCTGTCCGTCAGCAGATTTTTCCACCTCAACCCGCTACTCCTTCCTTACCAGTGTCCGAGACTGCGCCAGCCGCGCGGCGGCACCTACCCGTCTTATATGGCTGTGGATAGGTGTATGAAGTTTTAGTTTCCGTGGTAACAGCTATGCTATTTATTGATATGTATCTGAACTATCGTCATTTTAAGTGCATGACTGTCTTATTATCGGTCATGCTGCCTGTTGGTGCTTGTTTACCATAAACAATAAACAAACAATAACAAGCTACCAGTTGGTTGACTGTCTCACTTGGTCTTGTGTTTGCTCTAAACCGTGTTTGTATTTCCTCCAACCACTGTATTTGTTGGCCCTGTGCCTCGTGCTATGTGCCCAGCTGTGTTCTGTGTGTCGTGTGCTGTCTTATGTCTTCTTTGTGTGATGTGTGCTCTGTGTGCTTTGTGTGCTGTGTGTTCTGTGCTCTCTGTGCTCTGTGTGTTCTGTACTCTGTGTGTTCTGTGCTCTGTGTGTTCTGTGCGCTGTGTATTATGTGTTCTGTGTTCTGTGTGTTCTGTGCTCTGTGTGTTTTGTACTCTGTGTTCTGTGCTCTGTGTGTTCTGTACTTTGTGTGTTCTGTGCTCTGTGTGTTCTGTGCTCTGTGTGTTCTGTGCTCTGTGTGTTCTGTGCTCTGTGTGTTCTGTGCCGGCTGACGGCCGGCCCTGTGTCGTCAGATTGCCGCCGAGATCTCCGCGCCGCTCTCCAAGGTGGACGAAATGGTGCTTCTGGGTGGCGAGGACAAGATCACATCGGAGCTGACACGGCTGGTCGGCCAGGTGCCGCCGGCGCTGAACGCCCTCACCGGCGTCGACCTCTCAAAGGTCAGTGACCCCGCCACACACACACACACAAGCAGCGCGCACACAAGATCACCTTGATCACCTTGTGTGCGCACACGCACGCACACGCACAGTGAGCACTTACCACAACTCTCCACTGTAGCTGACTGCTGTAACTGACCACAGCTTTCCACTGTAGCTGACTGCTGTAACTGACCACAGCTCTCCACTGTAGCTGACTGCTGTAACTGACCACAGCTGTCCACTGGTAGCTGACTGCTGTAACTGACCACAGCTCTCCACTGTAGATGACTGCTGTAACTGACCACAACAGCTCTCCACTGTAGCTGACTGCTGTAACTGACCAGTATAACGCCTTTTGGGGCGACTAACGGAGCGAGCGAGAGGGTGAGCCTTGCACGTGCGAAATTTCGAGGGGGTACCTCCAGCTGACTTGTGCAACAGCTCTCCACTGTAGCTGACTGCTGTAACTGACCACAACAGCTCTCCACTGTAGCTGACTGCTGTAACTGACCACAGCTCTCCAGTATCCACTGTAGCTGACTGCTGTAACTGACCACAACAGCTCTCCACTGTAGCTGACTGCTGTAACTGACCACAGCTCTCCACTGTAGATGACTGCTGTAACTGACCACAACAGCTCTCCACTGTAGCTGACTGCTGTAACTGACCAGTATAACGCCTTTTGGGGCGACTAACGGAGCGAGCGAGAGGGTGAGCCTTGCACGTGCGAAATTTCGAGGGGGTACCTCCAGCTGACTTGTGCACGGCAACCTACTAACCGGTCTCTAGCGATGTGCCAAATTTGAGCACAATCGGCCCAGCCGTGCTCGAGATCTGGAAGCGGCACCCTGCACGTGCGCACGTGCAAAATGGGTCCCAACTGACTTTTGCACGGCACCCTACTAACCGGTCTCTAGCGATGTGCCAAATTTGAGCACAATCGGTCCAGCCATTCTCGAGATCTGGAATCGACCCCTGCACGTGCGCACGAGCAGCAGCACCCCAACTCCGGCACATGGATATGCATTGCCTAGTGGGTGCCTACCTGCATGCCAACTTTCAGCGCAATCGGCCAAGTAGTTACCGAGATATTGCAACAATTACAAAAGTGACACCTCTTCGTTTTGCACGTGGCACGTGCATAATGGGTCACCCACATGCATCGGGAATAGTCCAATACTTGGTAGAAGGAATGAAGCTACCCTACAAAAATTACCGCATGTAAATCGGTCAAGTGGTTGCTGAGATATAAGCGTCGCAGAATCGTGACCACGGCCGGCCGGCCGGCCGCTCATACTCAGAAATTTCCGTTATTCTACGTAAGACTCCGCTCGCTTCGCTCGCTCCGTAACCACAACTCTCCACTGTAGCTGACTGCTGTAACTGACCACAACAGCTCTCCACTGTAGCTGACTGCTATAACTGACCACAACAGCTCTCCACTGTAGCTGACTGCTGTAACTGACCACAGCTGTCCACTGTAGCTGACTGCTGTAACTGACCATAGCTCTCCAGTCTCCACTGTAGCTGACTGCTGTAACTGACCACAACAGCTCTCCACTGTAGCTGACTGCTGTAACTGACCACAGCTCTCCACTGTAGATGACTGCTGTAACTGACCACAACAGCTCTCCACTGTAGCTGACTGCTGTAACTGACCACAACAGCTCTCCACTGTAACTGACTGCTGTAACTGACCACAGCTCTCCAGTATCCACTGTAGCTGACTGCTGTAACCGACCACAACAGCTCTCCACTGTAATTGACTGCTGTAACTGACCACAACTCTCCACTGTAGCTGACTGCTGTAACTGACCACAACAGCTCTCCACTGTAACTAACTGCTGTAACTGACCACAACAGCTCTCCACTGTAGCTGACTGCTGTAACTGACCACAGCTCTCCAGTATCCACTGTAGCTGACTGCTGTAACCGACCACAACAGCTCTCCACTGTAATTGACTGCTGTAACTGACCACAACTCTCCACTGTAGCTGACTGCTGTAACCGACCACAACAGCTCTCCACTGTAATTGACTGCTGTAACTGACAACAGCTCTCCACTGTAGCTGACTGCTGTAACTGACCACAACAGCTCTCCACTGTAACTAACTGCTGTAACTGACCACAACAGCTCTCCACTGTAACTGACTGCTGTAACTGACCACAGCTCTCCAGTATCCACTGTAGCTGACTGCTGTAACCGACCACAACAGCTCTCCACTGTAATTGACTGCTGTAACTGACCACAACTCTCCACTGTAGCTGACTGCTGTAACTGACCACAGCTCCCCACTGTAGCTGACTGCTGTAACTGACCACAACTCCCCACTGTAGCTGACTGCTGTAACTGACCACAACTCCCCACTGTAGCTGACTGCTGTAACTGACAACAGCTCTCCACTGTAGCTGACTGCTGTAACTATCCACTCTGACCACTGTTACTGTCCACTCTGTCCACGGTAGCTGTCCACTGTGACCGTCCACGGTAGCTCTCCACTGTGACCGTCCACTGTAGCTCTCCACTGTGACCGTCCACTGTAGCTGTCCACTGTGACCGTCCACTGTAGCTGTCCACTGTGACTGTCCACTGTAGCTCTCCACTGTGACCGTCCACGGTAGCTCTCCACTGTGACCGTCCACTGTAGCTCTCCACTGTGACTGCCCGCTCTGCCGCCAGGTGCTGTCCAAGGTGCCGGGAGCGGAGGTGAAGTAATCCGCTCCGACCGAGCAGCTCGGGCCGCCGCTGCCGCGCCGCCCTGGGGCCGGCAGCCGCGGCCGTCCTACCTCGGATGGCGTATGTCGACCGGGTGCTGTGCCGCCGCCGGGCGCCACGCAGCACGCGAATCTCATCCCTCAGCCTTGCCAAACCTATCCCGCACCCGGGGGGGGGGGGGGGGCAGAAGCTTCCCCATGCCCGTCCATCGACGTCAAACATAAGTACCTTGTCACACGTCGTTTTGACATATTCCTTTAAAATTTTAACAAAATCCGCCACAAAGTTTCTGAGAAAATGATGTTTTAGTGACGTCAAGTCACGCCGTTTTCGCTTCAAGGGCTGCAAAAATTCAAACGACTTTAACACCTTCAATTCTTAATCACGAGGTAAAAAGAATGTACGTGATTTTACTAGAGGTAAAAAGAATGCACGTGATTTACTAGAGTTAAGAAGAATGTACGTGATTTTACTTTTTCATTCAATTGAATGAAATAATGTTGTTAAATTTCAAACTTTGAAAATGTTCAAAAACCTATTTCTTAGGAAAAGACCGCTATAAAATAAAAATTTTGAATTTAACGAAAGTTCAACTTCGAGAAGTAGGTACGGTCTGCGGCCTGCGCACCTATATTCCAATTTTTAGAAGATTTGGTTAATTTTTTCGGATTTCAGTAACGTCACGACGCACAAAATTTTCAAAAACAAATTTTAGGGACTTGCCTAAGTGCAGGAATAAAATGACAGTATCGGATTCGATGTGAAAACTGCACCAGATTGATGCGTTTTTGGTCTCAAAATCAACTAAATAATTTGGCCTCAATTGACCTGACATGGAAATGAACTTCATGCACATATGGTCAATTTTACTAATTAAGTATGCCCAATGCCCATTGAGTTATATGCGTAAAACGACCCGGGAAGCATGTGCTGCACATATCCTATTCTATAGTTCGTCTTTGGTGACTTGACCTGACCTTCACCTTAGCAAACATTGTATGCAATGCTCATGCATTATGGTTAAGAACGTATTTTGGGTGACGAATCTCAGTAAATTCTTCGCCAACTGGGCTCCAAAGCTGGTACTGTAGAAACTCAGTATTTTTTACCCTCGACCTGACCTGTGACTAACTTGGGCAGAACAATTTGTTCTCAACTGTCAGACTTGTTGAGAGCTTTCAATGGCCGTTTCACCCGCCTTTCTGAGACCATCCTTTCGGAACAGCCCCCTCCCCCCCCCGCCCGTGGGCGCGCTATGGGTGAATAGTCGAGCGAGCGCGGGATAAAAGGCATTCTGGACCATTCTGCAGCACATATATGTGTATCAACCTTGCCTTTGCTCGTTTAACGGTTTAATCGAATCCGCCACGATAGATCAGTTTACTAACGCTCATTACGGGGTTTAGTATAGGAGTCGCTTACCAGTAGATTACCAGACATGACATAGCTAATCGCACAATATTGCTGCCATCGCCCCTTTTCAGTTAGTTGCGACGTCTCAACTCGCCTCCTGAAGTTGGTTTCGCACGCTATTGTTCGGAAAACACCATTCTTCTGCCGACTGTGAAGGCCAGCTGACTGCCGTACGTGCTATGTAGTAGCTGCCCCGTCGCGCGCCGTGTGGGCGGGGTGCTACTTCAGTACACTCAGCGCGGCGTGCGGAGGGGTGTGTGCGCGCTGCCGGGAGTGCCTGCCGCCGCGCCGTGCCGCGCCGTGCCGTGTCGTGCCGTCCTGTTCCGTGTAGTCAGCCGGGGAGCGCGCGCCGTCGGGCCCTTGGTCAGTCACCAGATCTGGCACACCTGGCCGGACGCTGCGCGCCCGTGTCGCCGGTCATTTTATCCCACCGCGAACGTGTTGAGCGGCTGGGCTCCTGGCCCGCCGAGTGAGCGGCTCATGCTCTGCCGAGTGTACTAAACAAATCCTATAGCCAGGATGGGAATTTTCCAGTCTGTCTGTCGCCTTTATCGGCAGCCCAGCTGTCTGGAATGGAAGCACGCTTACGCATGTTGACATTATCTTAGTTCTAGACTTGTGTATTGCTGCGTAGGCCGCAGTGTACATTTGACTGCAGAATTGGAATGAAGTACCACTTTCCACAGTCAATCAGTTGTCCGGAGTGGTAGTCTGTGCCCCACGGGCAGAGTTCACAGTGACCCAGCTCTCAGCTTAATTGCGTGATGAACGGCACAGACAAGCGCTCCAGTCAACTGATGGCTTCTGAAGAGTGGAACATCTTTCTGTACCTATCGACACCTTTTTTTAAACCCCACATCTGCTCTCCCGTGAATTTCCGGGAGGCACGAAAGATCTCCTTTTAAAAGTGTCCAATCGTCCGATCCTGATCAAATATGTGTGTTCGTAGGCTTGTTCTGGTATTGCTTTATCTGCCAAGACAGACAAACTTGAGAAAAATCGATTGATTGTACCTTTTTTGAAGGTCTCTAACCAACTTGTCTGAAATTCACCGGAGAACAAATGTGGGGTTTAAAAAAAGGTGTCGATATATAGTCAACCGTACATATGTTCTGGCGCCAATGTTTTGCATGTGTTGCATGTGTTGCATGTGCTGACTGCTGTTTTCGGGCAAGTAGCGGGCCTTTGCGGCGGATGTCTGCGGGCGGCCAGGTTCGGCGCGCCGACGCGGGGGCGCGGCCCGGCCGCCAGACATTGTTCGGTGGCTTGTCAATGTGTGCTGGGATTGTTTAGTGGCTTGGCAGTGCGTGCTTGGCCGGCGGCTAGTCAATACAAAGCGTCTGGGCCGCCGCTCGGTGGCCGGCCGGCGTATATGTATACCAATCGACAGGGAATATGAAAGGTGAAGTGCCTGGGTGTGGTGAATAATGACTAGTTTTGGTCGAGGCCAGGCTCTTTCCACACTGGACTTCGACGGTCTGTGGTGCCGCCTGGCGGCGACTGCTCTGCGCCAACTGCTCGACTGCGGCGCCGCCCGGGGCGGACTGCTGCTCAGGGGTAGGGGGGGGGGAGCAGAGCGCACGCGCTCCGACAGACTGGCATCCGGAGCTGTGGAGTCAATGAAATTTTTGGTGACTCCGACTCCGACCCCAGCTCCGACTCCGGCTGTTTCTCTTAAAGTCCATATCATGATAGAAAAGTTCATGTCTGAGATATTTTTGTCTTGTCTGAAACAATCCTTTGCCGGTTCCAAGATCTCACGTTGCAAATATACTTCATAAATAACTAGTAGCTATGCAGATTGCAGAACTATGAGCAAGGTCTAATGCAGCTATTGTCTTCTGCTTCTCGTCTAAATAACAAAATTTGCCTCAGCTTCGAAAAAAAATCTGGTATGGAAACATCAATGAACAACAATATTTTGAAGTGAACTTGTGTAGGGCACGGCTGACCTACACGAAATTGACTTCTACTCCGGAGTCTGATTTGAGTCGATAAGATGTTGGCGACTGCGACTCTGACCGGGCAGCCCTGCTGGCAGCTAGTGCCGGCTGACGTGGCGCATCCAGCCGCTGTGCTGCGCGCGGCGCCTCCCCGAGCCCCGGCCGGCAGCCACACGCCGCGCTGGTCTGCGTGCATGTATGTACTGCAGCGGCGCTTCAGTCGACAAACACACCGGCGGGACCCGCCGTTACATGGTCTCGGCACTCTGCGACACGCGCGGCGGCGACCATCAGCTCAGCGGAGCGGAGCGGGGCGGCCGGCCGCTGCCCCGACCCGACCCCAGGCCCCGCACAGCCAGGGATCTCGGCAGTGTCCGGTGCGCGCAGCAGGCGGCGGCCGCTCATCGCGCCGCCGCGGCAGACAACGACACAGGCGCGGCGCGGCGGCCCAACAGACACAGACGCACGCCTTAAATCTAGCTTAAAAATAACATATCCGAGCCACCTGGACAGAGCATCACATCACATGAACGCGCGGGCGAGAAGGTGGCGGTCGGCGGCGGCAGCTGCGGCGCGCCCGGCTGACTAGGCACGGCCGCTGCGCACCCAGCCGCTACCCGTGGCCGGCGGCGCGCCGCCAGTGCTGAGCGGCCGGCGCGGCGCCTAGCCGATGTCGGTGTGGGCCAGCGCCGGCTCGGAGCCGCCGTGGCCGGCGCCGGCGCCGGCTCTGTGCCGCTCCAGGATGCGCTCCACGTACTCGGGAAGGTGTCCGGCCACGCGGTGCTCTGCCGACAGGGGACGCGGCGCCGTCAACGAACCGCTCCCCGCACTCACTGGGTAACTCCCCGCACTCACTGGGTAACACCCCCCCCCCCACACTAAAGCGCTGTGAATGTCAAAATCTATGGAGTTCTCATGCGAGTCTTTTATCCCAAGGAGCCGCTCACTGTGAAAGTCATGCGTCGCAAATCAAGTCATCCAACCTACCTCTCGTTGCAAAGTAACACTCAAACGCAGCCGACCGCTCCGACCGCCTAATTCAGTGGTGGCAGTACGGCCGGACAAACCAGTACAGTACACTCACCTACTAAGTGAAGTTCGCCCCCCGACGGCCCAGCGTTTGACTGGAGCGGTAGACTGCGCCGTCTTACACCCAGGCTCAGCGGCACAGCACATCCCTCTGGCCTCAACGGTAGACTGTGCCGCCTCACACCCAGGCTCAGCGGCACAGTATATCTCTCTGGCTTCACACTCGCTACAGACGCGTTTGACCGGGTCAGGGACGCGCCGCGCTGGTTGCCTTATCGCTCACAGTCACATATCTGTGGCTAGGGGGCCTGCTGCGAATCGCTGGTCTTTCTGTGTCGACTCGAATATGATGCTTGTAAGTGGTCACGATCGCATTTAGCTCAGTGAGATTAGTTATAGCAATTTATATCGTTTATTTTCTCGCGGGTGGGGTGGGGGGGGGGTGTTTGGCCACACTTGCCAATGTTTGTGTGTGTCTGTAACAGATACAGATACAGATACAGATACAGATATATTCGAGCCAGATCCACACATTGGAGTGGCTTTTCACAAGCTCACGTCATACGATGGGGAATATCATGGGGAGGGGGAGTATATCGAGCACACATCCACGCATTCACAAATCACAGTACGTATGCTCAACATAGACACACACAATCTAAGCATCTTGTTCAGGCATTGCTCGCAGCACCTTCATAGCGTTAGCTCTGAAAGATGACACCATTGGGTCAACTTTGAGCTGGTTGAGTCGTGCCACTCCCCTGTAGCACAGCCGCCGTCGGCCTGCCTCCGTCCGAATGGACGGGAGCGTGAGCAAATTGGCGCGCCTTGTGTCGTGCTGGTGGCGATTGCTCGCCTGGCGCCCTATGGTGCTGCTCAGTCGCTCAGGCTGGGAAGACACGATAGCTCGCTGTACAGCGCACACGGTATGGTAGTCAATTAGTCGCTTGGCAGATAACCATTTCAATTCGCGCATTACAGATGCCACACTGTCGCGACGCCGCTTGTTCGACACGACCCGGGCACAGAAGTTCAGTACTTTTTGGAGCCGCCGAAGTTGCGTCTCTCCGCACGATCCGTAGACGGACGAACAGTATCGCAATACCGAGATCACTAGTGACTGGACGATGCACTTCAAGGCAGACCTCGGCACAACATGACGTGCATGCATCAGTGCTATGAGCATGCCAGTACATTTCTGTGTAACGCTGTCGACATGCGGCTCAAAACTCAAATGACGGTCCATCGTCACTCCGAGGTTCCTCACCGTTCTAGACTCAGTGATTGTGGTCGCACAGAAATCCACAGTAACAGGGGCCAAACCGCGGAGCATTGCTGGCGTTCCTATCACGAGCATCTTTGTTTTTCCTGCGTTCAGTTTCATGCCGTTATGGCAAAACCACTGAAAAACGCAGGAGAGCGCGTGCTCCATGCGTGCGATCAGCTGATCTACATCACATTTTCTGCCAGTAACCATGAGCTGCGTGTCGTCCGTAAATTGAACGACGGTGACGTCATCAGGCACACACAAGCACAGGTCATTTGAGAAGAGCATATAAAGAACGCAGCTGAGCGCTCCGCCTTGATACACACCGATCTCGTTGGGTTTGCTATCTGACAGGAGACTCGCACCATCTGCACCCCTCATCTGCACCTGCTGCGAATGATGCGCTAAATAGTTACGGAACCACTGCACATCGACACCGTATACCGACAACTTTTCCAGTAGTTTTGCGTGTGGGACTACATCAAAACATTTTGATAGATCTAATAGTACCAAAATACAGATTTGTCCATTGTCCATGGCTTGAAGAGCCATGTCAGTTACAGTATGCAGGGCAGTTTCGGTGGATCGCTGTTTGCGATAACCGTGTTGAGCATCGGAAAGCAAGTGGTTATCCTCTAGATAGCTTGACAGCTGGCCCTGAACAATACGCTCCACCAGCTTCATAATCGCTGGTAGAATAGATATGGGACGCGTATCAGACGGTTTCACAGACGTCTTCCCCTTCGGAATAGGGGTCACTAGTGCGTGCTTCCAATCACGCGGCACGACACCAGTAGCCAGGCTGGAATTCACTACGTTTAGCAGTACGTGGCCCTTGTTTGTTGATTGGGGCTTTAGGGCGCGCCGACTGCTAAGGTCATTTTGCGCCCATAACGTCGTACTAATAAAACAAGTGTGCCACAAGAAAGAACCTTCTAGATACTAAGACTAGAAAGTAAGACTCGATATAAAATAGCAAGGTAAGATAAAACAGCGCAAAGGTGTCGTCCTAGACAACTGACTAGATGAAAGGACTAGAGAGGGCTAGTTGGATTGGGGTCAGGTCGAGTATATCACTTGGAAGTTGATCGAACGGATAAAAGAAAAGATGTTGCCGGATAAAACCCAGGGTGACTCGTCACCCAGTAAGCGGCGGATAGTGGTACCCGGAGCGATGCGCCCGAGGTAGCGTGTCCGGTTCGGTTCAGCGAGAGGACAAGATAAAAGCACGTGAGAGACAGTGAGAGGCACGGTACACCTGCGACAGGTGGGCTGCTCTTCTCCGCGGAGGAGATGACCATGCGTGGCATACGTATGGCCGATGCGCAGCCTACATAAGACGACTTCGTTATGTCTGTTACTTTGCATGGATGACGACCAAGGCTCGAGAGTTGGCTTGATATCTCTCAGCTTACTGCTCGCGCGCGAGTCCCACTCTGCCTGCCACTGCGAGAGCATGGAAGATCGTACGACGGGATAGTAATCCCGGGCAGGCAGAGGAAATCGCCGAGTGTAGGGCGCTGCGGCAGCGCGTCTCGCGGCGGCATGGAAAGACTGAAGCATCAGTACGCTAATACCATCCTAACGGAAACTGCGGCGCACAGCGACGCAAAACTTGGCACAACTTATGAATTTCGTATCGTCTCTGGAATTGTTGACACCTGGTCACATCATAAAGTCAGGTCAAAATGCTCCTCTTTTTAGCAATGGCACCCGGATACAGGTGAATAATGGCACACCGAATCACAAAATTCCACTCTTGACCCATTTTATGCCCCTGAAGTCATCTCACATCATGATACGTCTCCGTAACCCTCGCCGGCACGGGCGAAGTTGATGCACCCGCCACCCCCCCCCCCCCACCCAAGGCTTCAAGCGAATAACTCGCGTAAAAAGCAGCCGATTGCGACAAAGCTTTCAGTACCCTCGCATTGATCAATTTCACATCTACCCTGAAAATTTCATGACCCTGACCAAAATGACCGTTGACATGTGACCTACTTTCCGAGGCCATGTTTGGCCGGAAGCGCGATTCGGCGTATGTCGGCTCGCATTAGCCGCGCGTTTGCAAGCTTTTCGTGGTTTCAAACGTTCATACATGTGATTTAGTGCTGCTCCCATGCAATAGGGTGGATGGCAAGGTCACCTGAAGGTCAGGCCAGGTCAGGTCATTGATCTTTGGTGACCTCGGCTCACTTTTTCGAGTTTTACATGTTTCTATGCTGGTTTTTGGAGATGAATTCGAATTTAGAAAGCATTTGAACATTTACAAAGTAGTTTTGGTTTCTTCGTAACATGTTACGAAGTTGTCAGAGGCGGTTGACAGGTACTACGAATATCCGTCACGACCCCTACTGGTTGACCTGACCTGACCTGACCTGACCTGGTCTAAATGCTTAAAGACATCCTCTGTGATCAAAAGTAACACGATATTCGTGATCAGCATCCCCCCCCAAAAAAAACATAGCAGAGACACTCAACCAATTATCTAGAGCCTTAAAATTGGGCATCATCGGCTTTCTCTCGTCACGGGCAACACGCTCGTTTTTTAAGCGACGCTCTAGCTCGATCAGGGGCCAAACGGCAAGGGGGGGTCCAACCGACCCCCCCCCCTACACTTTAGAAGCTGGCAAACGCCGCACACGTGCGAGGGTTAAAAATGGGATATGATCGGTTTCCTCTCGTGACGGGCAACACGTTTGTTTTTTCCATAAAGCTCTAGCTTGTTCAGGGGCGAAACGCGAGTGGGGTTGTACCCCCCCCCCCCCTTGTGCCGTCGAAGGACGCAAAATGGCCTGTGCCGGCGAGGGTTAACAGTTTTTGACAATGTCTTTAGATAACACATGATAGAACGCTAAAAAACACCGATGCGTTCAGTTCAATGATAGGAATCGAATGATAGGCACAACATGACCTTTTCTATGAGCTTGACCTGAGATCATTTTTGTAAATTAAATTTCAATGTATAGTTCATTTGACGCGTCTTCACGAAAGAAACGCGATTCCGGTTAAATCAACGTAATAAAAGCATGACGCATAGACCTCTGTATACATGGACTGGACACAGAAAATCCGGCCATGACCACAACGGCCCTAAAAGTAAATGCTTATAACTCGAGATTCAGTTCACCTACGACATCCATTTTTTTCATCGCCGCATAGCCCCATTCATTGAAAATGATGGGGATCATCCGCCGAACCGATGCGGTGTAACGGGGGAGCACCAGCACGTGGCGCGTGAGAGATGTTTATGAAAATGGCGTGACAGTATCTCGGGAACGGCTGGACCGAATGAGTCCAGATTTGGCACACAGCTAGGTATTACACACCTGCCAATAACGCATGTCCCAATTTTGAGGTGCCGATGCACGTGCGCACGTGCACACCCCTTTTTTGTATCTCAGAAACTACTCGTCCGATTTCGCTCAAATTTTGTATACAGGCAACAGCCTAACAACCATTGCTGGTTCACACCTCAAGCAAGGGGTG